ATATATATATATATATATATATATATATATATATATGCATAAGAAATTGTTTTTATGTACGTAAATGCACATCTAATTTCAGATAAACTTTAGTCACACATTTGGTCGAAATCAGATGGTAAGAACCAAAAGCAATATAAATATAAACAAAATAAAAAATCGAAGAAGACGAAGAAGTGAAGCGGGGGTGCAAATCAGTAATGTAATTCGTTTTGGGGAAAATTATTTAAAAAATAAATTATTTGAAATATTAATTCAAAATTTGAATAAAATTGAACCGAATATGAAATTTTTTTTTTTATTTGTGAGTTATTTTGAATTCGAGTTGACTATGAGCAATCAAAATTTAAAGAGATTTTTACGGCTTTTAAATCCTTCATTTTACTTGCAACAACATGCCATCTCCTAAAAGAGTTCTTCAGCCCAAGACTTAAATACTACTTTTCGGTACTACATCTAGTTGATGTGAGACTTTTTTGTCTGTGACATTCTCCTTCACCATTGGTTTCACTGGATGGAGAGCCAACACCACTAACAGACAATAATCTATTCTGATATTACTTGTCACCTCTCAAAAAAGATCTTCGGAGTGGTGAGAGAGCGAACGAGTGAGCTTTGAAATAGAAATATGCACTTATGCCGCTCATTTGTACATATAATTACGTGAATGCCCATAAATAAAAAATAAAATTTCCTGAAATCTTAAGTGCTGCATAAATCCCAATTATCAAAATCATGCACCATAACCGATATTTGCAGTCCCATCCAGCCGTCGGGACTCCGATCAACCTCCTCCCCCGTCTAATTATTTCTGGACCCTTCCTCCATCCTCCCGTGATGTCGCACCCATTTCCTCTCCGAAGCATACCCGCCGATGGAACCTCCCCTGCATTTCCAACAAACCCTAATCTCACATCCAGCAACAATAACCTCAAGGCGATGCGGCAGCAATGGGAGGAAGCTGCTCGAGTATGGCTTTCCTCTCTTCCAGACCGCCGCGACCCTTCGGCTAGCGAGATGGACGTCTGGATCGATTCCAACTACTCCTCCATACCAAATGATATTCGATCTCTCCCTCGCAGTGATCTTTACCAGCGGATCCTCTCTCTCAGCTTCGCCCTCCCGGTTCATTCTCAGGTTCGCTTATGGCCACTTGCTTTACATGCTAAGTTCCGACCCAAGGGTCTGTAATGGGTCTTACGATACTTGCAGGCGGCGCGGATGGGCCGAGCGGAGTTCCCTTATAGGTTCCAGAGGACGGACCAGTGGCGGCCGGTGTACTCGTGGCTGGAGTCGATGGACAAAGATATGATTGTTAATTCGAAGGAGATTACGGAATGGTTGTCTTTGAACACAGAGTTTAGGGATAAGTTGCTTGCCAGGCATTCTAAGTATCATTTGATGCACTACATACAGAAACTTCACCTCAAGTTGTTGAAGAAGAAGGGGAAGTTGCCAAAGGTTTTGACTGATATTGGTTTGAACTTTCCTTTTCTTTTTGGGTAGCTTAGATACTTGTTGATGTAGGCTGAGTTTTTTCCTTGCTTTTAATAGTTTGATTTAACTGCTTTAGCTTGAAATGTTTGTGGAGGGAGGGAATGAAAATGTAAATGGAATTCTAAAGATCTGCTAAAGTATACCATTTTCAAGAGTATAAAATTCTGCATGTTCTGGCTGAATTTTATGGCCGCGCTGGACTTATAATGCATATGAAGTGTACGGACATTTATCGCTCTATTTTGTATCATTTCGATGCTATTTCTCAAGCTAGACGTTAGTTTCTAAGGTTTCTAAACTTCTGCTTGTGTTTCTACAATTCTTCATAGGGGCATTTACATACAAACCACCCAATTCCTATCTATTTACATATCCAACACCTAAACTCGTTACATCTATACCACCTAAATCTTTCATACCACATAAAGAGACCACCATTTTAACTTTTTAAAAGTGAAATACAGAAATACAGCTTTTCTTGCATGGGTAGGGTGGTATGCATGCGAAAATTGAAGTTTAGGGGTCCGATATGTATATACATAGGAATTGAGAGGTATTCATGTAAATCTTTCTTCTTATTCGTATATTTGTGGTTTTTTTAAGCTTTTGTTCTGAGCAAAGTACTATTTGATGTTGACCTATAGTTTTGAATAAAGTAGTAACAAATTATTTTTGCGATAGGGCATGCTGCTATCTGCTGCAAGGGCTTCAGTAAAGTCAGCAAATGGTGGTGTTAAATTTCGAGATGATAATTCCTTATGTAAGTGCTTTTGCGGAGTAGTAGGATTTAACTTCTTTTTTGCAAACTACTTTTATATTTAATTTTTGGAGCATTTACATAAATACCCCACAATTCTTTTGTATTTACATAGATAACAAACAAATTTTACTTTTAACATTATATACCACCCAAATCTTTCATTTGACATGGAAAATACCACCATTTTAACTTAAAAAAAAGTGCCAATACACTTTTTATGCATAGGAATGGTGGCATGTGTATTTAAAAGTGGAAGTTTAGTTGTTAGATATGTAACTACAAAAGAATATCATGGTATGTATGTAAATATTTCTTTTTATTTTGAAATCGAGAAAGTGGTGTCTTTGGGATATTGTTCGTTTGCAATGTTGTTTGTTCCTTGGTACATGCCATGCATTTATAAATTGTATTGCTATTCAATTACAAGTTAAGTCTGCACTAAACATTTTGATTTTCTAGTGTTTGCTATTCGTTTATAAGTTAAATTTGTCCTTTCAACTTTATTAATTCCTACTTAACATTTTGCATCGTTATGGACCCAAATCATGGTAAGAAAACTTGTATTTGGATGAAAACTTAATAACCTAAGTTTGGCATGGAACAAACGATGTAATAATTTGATTCTTGACTTTTAATTTGTAAAAAATATATAATGTTTATTATAATGTAAATAATGTTGGAGAAACATAGGAAAAATTTTTTGTTCATGACAAGAATTCTGTTCATGCTTGAAATTAATTTCTTTTTTAAAACCTAAATCTATGTAAACACATCACATTTGGGGTTAGATTTATGTAAGTCACATGTTTATGGAAGTTTCATACTCATGCTCTTCTTGTCAACTTATTTTAAAAGGTGAGTGCATTTGAGTATTTTATTAATACATATGTCCTGGTAATAGAATTCAATAAATATGTTCTTCTTCTTGTAAATATCATTCTCTTTCTATTTTACATACAAATCCAATTGTTGTTTAGGTTATATGATACATCTAACTCCACAGTATATTAACCATAATTTTTTCTATAACTTTAATTTTTTGTGCTTCTTTTGCTTTAATCATGACGGGCAAGTTCCTTTTTTTCTTCTTCTATACTGTAACGTTTATTTGCTTCGCGTGCTCATGTATTTTGCTTGACATCTATAATTTGCTGGATGATTAATTAATGTGTCTCGACACAACTTTATCAATATGTCTCAATTTATCTTATTTACTTGACTTCATTATAATAAATTAATTGCAAGTTAAATTACTTTTCTAATTTTGAATAGTTATTATAAAAAAAAAAAAACTAGTTAGTCTTTTGCTTTATATATTACATTATTATTGGTTACTTGGTATGTTATATTAGAACATAAAGTATTTTTTATTTTTATAACTTTTTAATTTTTGTTGTTTTAACTTATGTGCATATGTTAGAAATTATTAGTATTGATTTATTTTCTTTCATATTCTTTCCTATTTTATGTATTTCCTTTTCTCTCCGAGTAGTTATTAGGAATTGATTAATTGTAATTTTGGAGATATAAGTGTTATTTATTTTCCATTTTCGGATTCATTTAAGCTGTATTTATATCCTCTTTTTGTATTTATTCAAAATCTATATGTTTTCGAAGCCTTGGAACAAATTCTAAAATCTTCGGCGGAGGAGAAGAGCTCCTGCTGCCAGAAACTTCCTATTTCCTTTAACCATCAATCTTTCTCCTATTGCAGACCCTTCCCGTGCCTCCTCTGTTCAACCCTTCTGTGGGATTTTCCCGCAGGAGCTCTTGTGCCGCTAGGAAGATTTGAGTGGGAGATTCCTGAGATAAGAGAAAACTCCATGCAGGACTTTTTTCTCCGCCTCTCATGCAACGAAAATTCCTTTGCTACAGGCCTCTCCTCTACAACCACCTATCTTCTTGCTGAAACTAGCCACCAAAACTCTCTCACCGTAGGCTCTAGTCGTCGAAACTACTTTCTCTACACCCCCTAGTCATTGAAATTCCTTACCTTGCAGTCCACTAGCTGTTGGAACTCCTCTCCCAGTAGGTCCTAGTTGCCGTAACTCTTTCTTGCAGGAACTAGCAGCCGTAACTCCCCTTCCTACAGATCCTTATGCCATCGTATCTCCCCTCCGTGTAGTCCTCTAGCTGTTGGAACTCCTTTTTGTGATCGAATTTTTCTACTGCACTCTCCTCGTACCGAAGTTCTCAAGCTTCTCTGCACTGCAATCTTTCTTTGCAGCCAACTGTCGCTAGGATTTTCTTCATTCTTCAAGAGATCTTCCTCTTGCAGGTTCTGCCTCCCGTAAGAATTTCTTCCTGCCGACATACTCCAGTGAGAATTCCTTCTCTGCACTTCACAAGTAGCATACCATTTTTTTTGTCTCCTGTGAGAACATGGCCTCTCGATCCTAAGCTCAAACCACCTTGATGGCGAAGCGAAAGCAAACCTCTTGGAAGTCCACCAGTGGTAATGCCCCAAGGAAGCAGCTGGCAACCAAGGCAGCTAAGAAGTCGGTTCTTGCGACCAACTGCATGAAGAAACCCCATAATTTTTGTTTCGAAACAGTTGCACCGAGGGAGATCAGGATGTTCCATAAGAGCATGTAGCTCCTCATGCTTAAACTTCCCTTGTGCCTGGTCCCCGTAATTGCACAGGATTTCAAGACCGATCTTCAATTCCAGAGTTCCACCATTGCTGCGCTTTAGGAGGCTGTTAAGACTTACTTTGTCGTTCTCTTTGCAAACATAAATCTTTGTGCCATTCATGCGAAGAGGGTTATTATTTTGTTGAAGGATATTCAACTTGCTTGCCAAATTTGTGTCCTTCCTTGCCAGACCCAGGGATGAACTCCTTCCATGCCTTGGTGTCCAAACCTCTAATTTGGCTCCGTTGGAGCTATTGCTGATTTCTCCACCTCTGAGCTTCCATTCGATATTGTTTTTGATTCCAACGGAGGTTCAACATCTATGCCAATCCCTCCGCATATCAGAGGACTTGAACACCACAAACTCCAAGGGAAATCGATAAATAATTGTTTGACCAAATCTTCCATTGTTAAAGGTTTCGCTAAGGCCTCATAATCCACAACAGTTCTGTTGGCTTCAACTCAGACCATTCCTGGCTGGCCAGACTCTATTAAAAGTCAGGTGGAATAAGCTGCTTGGTTCTAATCAATTCTTTTCTGACTCATCGGGCTCTCATTGTCGTAGATTGTCTTTTGGGGAAGATGATTTAATTTTTATTTTCCTTTTTTTCTCATGAAAATGGTATTGATGACGTTTCCGTTTGTTCTCCTTTATCGTCGTAGTGTTTTTCTTTTTCCAACATCAGGTCCTTCGGAGTTAGCAAGTCCTTCTCCAGAGCTTTTTCCCGCAGTAGACTCTCATCCAGAGCTTTTTTACGGCAGTAGACCCTCCTTTGGATCTTTTTCCCATAACAGACTCTTCTCCAGAGCTTTTTCTTGCAACAGGTTCTCCTCTGGAGCTTTTTACAGTAGCAGGCCCTCCGGAGCTTTTTTCCGCAATAGGTCCTCTTCTAAAGTTTTTTCCCACAACAGGCCCTCCTGAGTTTTTTTTCCACAACAGGCCATTCTCTGGAGCTTTTCCTTTGTCTTGCAGGCCATATCCTGTTACTTGTAGGGTTTCTAGTTTCTACTTACAACATTTGCTCCAACAACTTTTCATCTATTTACAGGAACTGCGAAAACTACAGTCAACTAGAAGTATCCCTAAATGCCTCTTGGGGATGAAAAATTTAAATTCTACCTAACAAAATATCTTCCTCGTTCATTGTTTGATGATTCAAATTCAATTTAAACATGATTGACTTCTATGTTTCAAATTGAGGGGGGTGTTAGAAATTATTAGTATTGATTTATTTCCTTTCGTGTTATTTCCTATTTTTTATATTTTCTATTTGTTGTTTTTCCATTTATCTTCGAATATACTTCATGGAGATATATGTGTTAATATTCTATTTTAGGATTCATGTAAGCTGTATTTATACTCACTTTCATATCAATAAAACTATTCCGCCTAATTCTCAAAACCTACAACCTCTTAGCTTATTGGGAGTTTAGATGCTTTTTTTTAAATCAAAACTTGATATAATGACCCATCTTTGAATATCTATCCTCTGTAGCATGCTTGATTATCATGCATTTTGCCTAAGATTCTTTTGGGATATACTGAATGTTTATCTAGAGATAGTATCCTACTTTTACCTCATTCGCAGCATAAGGTTTGCTGCATTCTTTTGCTTCTTTCAATCTAGAAGCTAGAAACTTTATATTTTATTGCATTTACATACTGAACACAATTTTTTTTTGTATTTACATATTTTACACCTGAACTTTTATATTTACACACATAACATTCAAATCTTTGATATCACATGAAAAATAGCGCTATTGCCCTTTTTAAAAGTGAAACACGCCTTTTCATGCATAGGTTTAAGGCACCTAAGTGATATGTATGTAAATATGAAAGTCTAGGTGTGATCTATGTAAATTCATAAGAGTTTCCCAATTTTATGAAAAGCACCACGTTCATTCTTTTTTGGCTTGTTTCTTCCTTTAGTGCTTAGGTAATTAGGTTATAGGCCAGAGAAGACGAGTATTTATTCTCTTCATACTAGTCATGTCTATGAAGTGATCTGTTCAAATCTTGAATGCCATTTTCTTCCAACCATTCACTTCAGTTTTCTTATTCTTTCGCTTTGTCATGTGAAGTCCAAGGCCTGTTTTACTTGAGAATAAAGAAAATTGCCACCATGCTTAAAGGCAAATTGTGGAGATCCAGATTTCCCTTTATTTTTTCCATTAATTTATGTTTGGGACATTTGCCTACCTACCATCCAATTCCTATGTATTTACATATTTCTACCCTAAACTTTAATTTTTACATTTATACCACCCAAATCTTTCATACTACATCAACAATGCCACCATTCTAACTTTTAACGAGTGAAATACACTTTCTGATGCATGGGTAAGATGATATTTATGTAAACATTGAAGTATAACTGTTTGATATGTAAGTACATAAGAATTAAGTGGTACGAATGTAAATCTTCCTTTTTTGCTTTTGTTTCAGGCAAAGCTTCAGCTGACACACTGAAAGACGACGGCGTGTTTCAATCAAGGAGAAATGATGCTTTTCTGCGGTATGAACTGTAAGTTTGTCAACTCGATTATTTTTCAGATATGCAATGCTAATTGAGGTGCTTTCGTGCAATACTCGTTTGATATTGTTTAGTTTAACTGATTTGCAGGAACAGCTGACGAGCATCCTTAAGAAGCACAACGAAAACAGCAGTTCTATTAAGGATTATAAGCCATCTTTTAATAACCAAAAGCAAGATTATACCTCTAATCAAAGGAATGAAGGCGATATTATTGTTTCAAAAGCTGCATCTAGTTCTCTAGATGTGGCAATAAACTCAGTCTCAGAACCAACAGTGGACGCGCATGTATTGATGCCAACAAACTGTATAACTAAAACAATAGAAGGCATGGATATAGATGGGACGAGAATTTCCAACTCAAAACCAGCAGCGGATATGAATATCGGACAGAAACGGAGAAGGGATCCTATCATAGCAACTCCTGCTTGGTCATGTTCTGAAGCATCGTCTGGTATGTTGGGCCTCTTGTTTGGTTTGCTTCTCGAGCTATTATAATGATAGGGGCATTTACATACATTTCACACAATTCTTATGTATTTACGTTAGAACACCTAAACTTTAATATTTACTTTCACAACACTTACATCTTTAGGATCTGTTTGGGGCAGTCGTTGATTATTTATAATCTGCTGATAAACAATTTATTCTGATAATCTGCAGATTATCAGAATAAATTGATTTGCTGTTTGAGACAACTTATTCAGAACAGCTTACTGGGAGCTGTTGTTAGATAAATGATCATTTTGACTCTGTTTAGTTAAGTTGTTTGCAACAGAACAACAGAACTGTATGAAAAATAATAGATAAAACAGATGTCTCAAACTATTACAGTTCAGTTACAGAAATTAAAATACATTGCTCCCCACTTCATGAGTATCAAAATAAATAAAATAAGAAGAAATACAATTACAATTATAAGTAAAATAATTAAAACATTCAACTTAAAACTCTGTCGTCGTCTATCCTGAGCGGCACCGTCCTCTTGAGAAACCATCGTACCGCGATCACTGTCGGCATGAGAGTATGTCGGAATGTCGGTCCAACAGAAGAAACCGCATATTGCTGAAACACCCCTCTGATAACCGTAGAATTGTCTCCCACTGCTATGAGGCTGGTGTGAGGTGAGTAAAGGAGCCGATAGTCTGCAGTAACATAACGCAACTCGGGAGGTTCCTGAAATCCTGGAACTCATGCTGCTACTGAGATAAAAAAAATAAAGAAAAGCTAAGTTGTCAGATCATAAAATTTAGCATAAACAAATAATAAAAGAAAACAAAAACTAAATAAAACTTAAACAAAACAAAACAAATAATTTAAAACAATATGCAAATTCATACTACAACGAACTACATTCCAAATGAAATCTACGAAATTCTTAGTAAAATCATAAAATACATATCCATACTACAATGAATTACATCCTCAAGTTTTTTAACATATTTTTCCTGAAAGCGCATATCAGCAGCTATTTCTGGAATTGTATCTAAAATGACAACGCAGTCCCAGATGGTGTTGTCTGGGGGAGGCGGAGTTGAAAAAGCAGCAATTAGTCGATCAAATGAATTTTTCACGAAACTATCCTTCTCTTTCTTTCTCCTGCGAAGCCTGAGCCTTTTGGACATGAAAGTGGACTCTTCTATCTTCTTTTGGTTAATACTAGACCCTTCTTCATCAGTTATAACATGTTAAGGTGACAAGTCATCTGGTATTTCTGTAAATCCCAACTCATTTGGGTTGAATGCATGCTTTTCAGTCGCGATTACCTCTTAAACATTATGTCCAGTTTTTCCTCGAACTCTGGATTAATTCCGTACTGCTTATATTTTTTGGCTGTTGGCATGACCTACAACATTGAATGAAATTAGAGGGGTTTAGAAATTAACCAAAAAATAATGGAATTAACAAAATAAGTTTGTATTTATTATCTCCAATCTTTCAGCCCACCATTCATCTGGAACATCGATTGTTCGCTTAACGGGATCCCGACCCAACCCAGTAGATCCACGTTTCAGCTCCTTCCATATTTTCCATTCCTTCTTCAATTGGTCCCATTTGTTTTTGAATTTAAGCCTATCGTAATCTCTTTCAGTCAATACTTTGAACCTCTTAGCGATATTTTGCCAACCTTCTTTATTAAAATACGTGGTTGGCCTGTTCACTAATTTAATTTCTTTAATACATAGATTACAAAAAATATTTGTTACTTATTTATCCCAAATTGCGGACGAACCCCTTTCATTCGCCTTAGACATGTTCAAACTATAATGAATAAAGGAAAATAAGTACTTTCTAAATGTGTTAAAAAATAACCAAACTTAATCAAGATCAATTCCACAACTTATAAAATAATCCTTTGCAATTTCAAGAAAGAACAAATTATAAATAAACACTGACAACCAACATCATTTCCACAACGTTACAATTTACAAATAAAAAAAAAAGTAAACAAGAGATTTATGTAGTTCGACCAATGACCTACATCTACAGAAGACAATTCACGAAAGTTTTATTAAGCAAATATGTAAGATTACATAGCTATGAACCTTAATTGAAGTTTACTACAACATGCTCTCAAGTAAACAAGCTCCATACTTAGCACTAAAATTCTTCCATCCTCTCACAAAAAAATAGGAACCGAAAACAGATTCATCTGGTACTCAAACTGTAACAATTACAAATGCAGAATATCGAATGCAACCCAACAAGCAAATAAACTCCAACATCTCTGTTTAGCTAAACCACAAACTGAATTTTGTTTAGTAATCAAGCTGTACTTTATAACTACTAATAAAAACATAACTTAAAAAATCTGCCTTTCATATGATTGAAGCAAATAAAGCCCAACATCTCTTCCAGATGATTGAAGAAAACAATGAATAAACAATGCATAAACAGTGCATGAACCCAATCCATCAACAACAGCATTACAAGTACCTAAACCTGAAGAATCAGGCTACCATGTATACCCACATGAAGCCCATGTTCAACCCGAGGTAAGCAGGGGAGAAATTCCCTAGCAAGGCTCACCTAGAACTTTTTTAAAAACAATCTTATGAAATCCTGCATAATGAAACGAATGCAATATTTGTCTTTAAAGAACACCAATAGAGAACAAAACACTAACCTTCCGTGGATCTCAAACAGAATTGCACATTTTTATGAATATTTAGCTTTTGTGATCTTCATAGTATCTACTTTCCACAACAGACATGTTTAAGAGCTCATTGGTGCAATTTTCAATTTTAAATCCTCTATAACGTCATTATTTATTTATAAAAATTGAGTTGAAGATGCCCGATCATCAAAACCCTTCGCAATGATCATTGGGTTAAGATATCTTTCTCTACAGTACTGATATCCATATATAAGCAAGTATATAGGGTATAATAATAAAATAAAACAGAGAATAACCTCAATTAAGAAACATCTTAAAAAGTATAGACAACAATACTTAATAAATACTAACAACCAATCTAGTAAAATCTCGGCTGCTCCTGCTCAAATAGAGCATATATGCCACAAAGATCATGTTTATTACAAAGATGAGAAAGCAAAGGATATATTCCCTATATAGTTTTAAGAACAACAAATTGAAACCTTCCAGAATTCAATTCTCTGCAGAAATTACCATTGCAAATGCCATATGCATCAATTCCAAGAATCCCATTGTCGGCCGTTTTATTGTTCAACTTAACTTTTGTTCAATATTGTTCAACTTAACTTTCGTAGTTTGGAAACGGTGATGATTTTGTGATTTTGAAAATAATTTAAATATAAATATAACTTTTTTTTTAAAGAAATAACGTTTTTAATTTTTAAAATAAGTGAGTCCAAACGAGTCTCACATTTTAAATAGCTTAGATGATTTAACACAATACTACAAGCAATACACTTATCCCGAAGAATAAATATATTACTTTGTAATAGAGATTCAATCATCTAGACTAAACAATTTGTGACATCCGTTTGGTCTGCGAAATATTTTTATAAAAAGGCCAACAAGTTCCCCTATCTAACATAAAAATTAGATAGGGTTTATTTTATCTGGGTTTCTGGTTCCCTATAGAGGCAAGCCCCTATAGTTAATTATATCTTAAATGATCGAAATCACTTAAGATAACTCTCGATTAAGATCAGGTGGTTTTGCTTTCAAGATTTCAAAGTTTAGGTTTTCACGATTGGACATGG